AAAGACACATTTGGCAGAGTTGAGCTTCATTTTATACTCTCTAAGAACCCGAAATGACTCTGCTAGGTGCTCAACGTGGAGTTCTGCCTTTAATGATTTTACCAACATATCATCAATGTAGACATCCATTGTTGCCCCAATTTGTTTTTGGAACATCCGATTCACCAGACGCTGATAAGTGACTCCTGTATTCTTCAGTCCGAAAGGCATAACCTGAAAGCAGTAAGTCCCTTGTTCTGTCACAAAGGAGGTCTTCTCCTAGTCATTGAGATCCATTCTGATTTGATTATATCAAGAGAAGGCGTCCATGAAGCTGAGGAGCTCGTGTCCAGCGGTGGCATCCACAATCAAGTCTATTCGAGGTAGAGGGAAACTGTCTTTGGGACAAACACGGTTGAGGTTAGTAAAATTGATACAGAGGCACCATTTTCCATTGGTTTTCTTTACAAAAACCACGTTGGCTAATCAAGTAGGGTAGTCTACTTCTCTGATGGCTTTAGCATGGAAAAGCTTGCTGACTTCCTCATTGATGGCCTTTTGGCGTTCTGGGGCGAAACTTCTCCTTTTCTGTTTGATTGGTTTATTGGCGGGATTCACACTAAGCTTGTGTGTGATGACTAAGGGGTCGATTCCTTCATATCCTCTTACTTCCAAGCAAAAACTTCTATGTTTCTTTTTAGGAATTGAATCAAGAGGTCCTTGATTTCTACCCAGTTTCAATCCCATGTAAACTAGGTGCTCTGGTTCTTCATCAAGCTGAACTGGCTCTAACTCTTTTGAAGGCGTGGGTTTGGTATCTAGCTCGTCTCTCATGTCGAGCTCATCTAACTAGATATTTTCGACTTCCTTCTTTTTCACCGATGCCATGTAACACTCTTTTGTCACACGCTGGTCTCTACGGACCACTTCGACTCCATTCTCCGTAGGAAACTTCATTACAAGGTGATAAGTAGAGGGGATAGCTTTCATGGAGTTAAGGGAAGGCCTTCCAAGCAACATGTTGTATGCTGAAGGTGCATCAAGCACTAGGTACCTCACAGTTGTAGTAGCCTGGCAAGGAGGGCCACCTAGGGTGAGCACGAGTTGAATTGATCCAAGGGGTAACACCCTCTCCCCTGAGAATCCTAACAAGTGAGCACTTAATGGCTCAAGCTTCTCTCTTCCTATTTCCATTTTGTCGAATGCTGACGCAAAAATGATGTTAGCCGAGCTATCATTGTCAATCAGAACTCGATGAACAATTTGATTAGCGACAATGGATCTTACCACCAAGGGATCATCGTGAGGATGTTGGCAACCTTCCAGATCTGAATCTGAGAAAGTAATAAGTGTGTCCACACGTGGTGTCTTGGACACCGTATGTATTTCTAGTGTTTCATTAGCTCTGATTCTACGTAAGTGAGCTTTCCTAGCTGAGTTAGATTCCCTTCCTCCTGCAAATCCTCCTGATATTACTCTGATTTCCCCTGGGGGTTACTGATGCTGCACAGGGGCTTGCTGCTGAGGTATTAGGGCTAGTGGAGCTTTGTTCTGATTATCATGGGCAATAAAATGACGCAATTGCCCCCTTTGGATCAAGAACTCAATATTCTTCTTCAGTTGAATATAGTCATCAGTATAGTGACTGTGGTCTCTGTAGTACTCGCAGTACTTCATAGGATCTCTCTGCGCTGGATCTGCCTTCATTCAAGGAGACCATTTTAAGAACTTTTCATTCTGCACCTCATACAGGATCTGGGACACTGTAGCAGTGAGTGGAGTATTCTGCTGAGGTGCATACCTCGGTTGCAACTCAGGCTGTGGGGGACCTAGACAATTCTTGACATTTTCCCTCCTTTTTGGGGAACGTTTCTCTATCTCTCCTAGGAGATCTGTTTCTTCTTGGAGACCTATTTTTTTCTCTTTCTTTCCTGGGACTTCGATCCTTTTTCTTTTCCTCCTTCTCTTTTCCATTCTGCGAAGATAAGCTCCCTTCCTTTGAGAGGAGAGCTTCCTCGCCATTTATATACTTCTCTGTTTTAGCCAACACCTCGGCCATGCTTGCTTGAGGATTTTTGGATATGGAGAACATCAAGTCCTTTGACTGTACTCCCAATCCTGTTATGAAAGCAGTAATGACAAATTTTTCATCTGGGACGTCTCCCTTTAGGGATTCCGAGTTAAACCTTTGAACATAGGATCTTAGGTTTTCTTGAGGTCCCTGCTTCACATTCAACAAGTGGTAGCTCGGCTTTCTGTATGTCTGAGCTTCTATGAAATGAGACACAAAGGATATCGAGAGCTCTTTAAAAGAGGAGATTGAGGCCGGGGGAAGCCTGTTAAACCATGCTAAGGCTGATCCTTTTAGGATTATGGCGAAGGCACGACAACGAACAAGATGTTGATATCCATGCAACTCTATCTGTTTTTTATAAGTATTCAGGTGGTCCATAGGGTCTCTGGTTTCATCAAAAGCTTTTACCTGCGGCATTTTGAATTTCGACAGGAAGGGAAAGTGCAACACCCCAAGAGTAAACGGGGACTCGGTTTGCTGCATCAAGGCGTCCCTGGTTATTGCAATTTTACTCCTCACGGCCTTCTTTGTGTGGCTAAGCTCCTGTTGAATATGTAAGCGCTGCTCCCGGTATTGGTCTTTTCGCTCCTGTTGGACTGGGCGAAGGTTATTCTTCTCATTCTTGCTACTTCGGCTCTGCACCTCTTCATTGTCTCCATTCCTCAAAAGGGGTTGGGGAGCCTGGCTATTTTTTCCTCCTTCGTTGGCTTCCCTGAATGGGTCGAGATGTCGTTGTTCCTTGTGAGGGGGATCATTCTGGCCTCCTTGGGCTGGTTGTTTCTCTTGTGGTCGCTGTAAAAGCTTTAGGAGTTCCTCATTCTGCTTTAGCAAGCGTTGATTGACCAGACGGAGGGCCTCCAACTCGTTGTTCGTGGGAGGATCCACCATAGGAGGATTTATATCGGCGATGGGGAAGAAATATTGTGGATCTTCATGATGTCTGCTAGTATGCTCCTACTGGTTCTGCACTCATGGGGAATTCACTTGGCTTCTGCTCATATTGCGGGTTGAGACCATCAATTACTGAAGGATCAATGTACTTGTAACGAGAACAATCGTTTCCACAGACGGCGCCAAACTGATGGTATTTTTTTTAAGCGAATAAGCAATTAGGGTGATTTTCTAAGCACATTCAAACCAGAGCTGCTAGGCCAAACTGATGGGTCAAAGATGGATTGAGCATGGAATAACTGATTTTTACAGTGAAAGTATAGTGGTTCACCAGCTCGGAAGCTTGGCTATTCCACTCTCTAATGGAGTCTCTTGCCCCTTGTATCCTTATTAATCATGAATTCAATTTACAGAGAGTCTCTTAGTATGCTAGGTTTTTTTTTTTTTTCATTGGAGGCGTTGTACAGTATTTATAGACCGGTCCCTATTTCTCAGGGATCTATAGCGATATTTTTGCCCTTCATTCATGGGTTGTCCCCCGATTTTAGGGAGATCTTTGGTTGGTTAAGTGTCCTGTGCCTTGATTATAGCTCCCCATTGCTATGAGGACGCCTTTCATCAGCCAGCTGTCCTCTTCTCAGTTTCCTTGCTAATCCCCTTGTAAGAAACTCGAGTGTTGGATCGTTGAGCTCTGGTTATTGCCTGACCTCCTGGTCTTAGCCCATTACTTGAGCTCCTCACCTAAGGTCATACCTAGAGTTTTTCTTGGTATCATCATCCTGCATGCTCAATATAGAGTATTTTCTTACAACAATTCTAAACTGTTGAGATGTAGCAAATAACATTCCAAGTTCAAAATATGGATGCTTCATATCTTTCTCTGGATTGAATTCATGATAAGTATGACTGCGCTGCTTCACCCTATCTTCATTCATTTGATGAAGAGTATAGTATCGTACCCTCATCTGCTAAATCAAAGTCAAAATTGAAATCATAATTCTCATGTATTTCAACATGCCCTTCATTGTCATTTCTCGCTCTTTTTCCACATGTTGAACAAGTGTCATCACCTAACACTCCATTGTTATTTCTCACCCTTTTTTGACTTCTCACACTAGTGTCATCTCTTATTATACCACTACTAGTGCCATCAACTAACCCTCAATTGTTATTTCTCACCCTTTTTTCAGCTCTCATACTAGTGTCACCACTTCTTTTACCATTGCCCTCTATTGTCATTTCTTACCTCTTGTTCACCTCTTTCACTAGTATCAAGTACATATTTCCTATCCCCTTCAACGTAGGTATTGATGATGCACAAAAATGGTTTTGCACACCACCTATCAAGTGTAGGTAATAAATGCAGTGAAATCAATGAAAAAATTAAAGAAGACACAATTTATAGTGGTTCGGTCAATTCGACCTACGTCCACTCTTTAATGGCTTCAGTTGCCGGGTATTTTATTAATTTAGAGGTATGGAGAATAGAGATACAAGCTTTGAGAGAATGGAGAATCAAAGAAAAAAAGTGGTCTCCGGTCGTCGGTCTATCCTCTGTAAGTGTTGGTGGGAGGTGTCATTTATAGTAGTCTCCTAACAGATTGGGGCTACTTTATAGCAGCTAAGAGATCATTGTTGTGGAGATCATGACTTATCCTCAAGGCTACTTTATCGCAGCTAAAAGATCATTCTGGTGGAGATCATGACTTATCATCAATGCTACTTTATCGCAGCTAAGAGATCATTCTGGTGGAGATCACCATGACTTATCCTCAAGGCTACTTTATCGCAGCTAAGAGATCATTCTGGTGGAGATCATGACCTATCCTCAACAGAAGGAGGAGGTTGGGGAGCTCTTCATGAAACGTGGTCAAAGCTTGAACCGTTTCCTTCAGTGGTGCAGATAAGCTTCTCATGCTCTCCTCTTGATGACGTGCTAAGCAAAAAGTCTAACCGGTCTTGGACTGTCTTAGGCTTGGTAGATTCAAAATGAGGTTGGGCTCTTCAACTGGAGTTGGACTTTAACACATGAATTGGACTATTTGAGCTTAACCCATCAGGTATCAATTAACAAGTCCTCATCATTGATCTGATAATCAGTATCATAACCATGGTCTGAATCAGTATTATCTTCATCATTTGCATCTCTGTTCTCGTCGTCACCATTAATATCATTGTCATCTACACAATCACCATCGATACCAGTGTTATCTACACCATCACCATCCACCAGAGCATCTTTTATATACACATCTTCAGTTGTTTGCTTTTTATGCTCTAAATTTACTTCAACTACTCTGTAAGTTAGAACTCACTCTAGCATTGAAAGCAAATCCCTATCCTTTTCTATAATCCTCATACCATTGATGAAATCCGTGGTAGGAACTCTATACCAACATGCACTAACCCCAATATAACCTGCCTCTCTCGCCATTGCTTCAATTTCATGAATGGATAAAAGGTCCAGATCAACCTAGTCGACATACCTCATTGAGCCACCTATGTAATCTCTCTTTGGGATGCACACGAATTCACCATCACAATGCAGTTCTATACTGAATAATGTTGACTGTTTTGTTAATCACATTATGATAAATAATGCGGAAAATAACTGAAAGTTTTCTGAAAAAAATGTTATAATGTTGAAAACAACAAAAAGTTGATTGTACTCATCTATATGACCCGATCAGATATAAGAATAAAGCATATAGTCATTCTCATGTTGGTTTGAAATCCATTAACACTAGCTGAAAGTCAAGCTATCTACACTCCATTTTAAGAAGTGGAGTTTACTATAGCCCGATCAGATATAAGAATAAAGCTATAGTCATTCTCATGTTGGTTTGAAATCCATTAACACTAGCTGAAAGTCAAGCTATCTACACTCCATTTTAACATCAGTAGGGCTCAACGTCCCTACTGATGTTACTTTTATTTTGACTTCTTTCATACCCTGACCACTTTTAGTCATCTCTACCTTGGTTAAGGCAACCACTAGAGTTGTAGCAAAAACTAGTCTTCATGGAGCAATTGTTTTGTCATAAATTTGCTCTTTTAATTGCCAAATATAAGTAATGGAGGGCATAACACTTTAGTCTTGATTCTCTTGTCAATTCTCCGGGTCTCCTTTCAATGTCTAACCATTAGAAGTACACAAGGTTGTGAAGGACAAATAATAAATTACAGATAATCTGTTATGGTTTAGGATATACTATACATTCGCCTCAATTGTCTATAGCTTACTCTCAAAACTATAACAATTGTATATATATATATATATATATATATTATATAATATAATAAATATTATATTATCAAATCACACAGAGTTAAAAACTTAAAATATAAATTTACTCAATTATCATAAATAAGACCAATTTCTATTAACCTTGTGGCAGTTGTGATACCCCATTTTGTCCTAATCCTTGACCGACTTCTTGTCACTGATAAGAGTACTATATATATTATCAAAACATTAAATTTTAATATCATGTTGAAATTATTATAAAATAAGAGTAAGATTACAACTCAATTTGTTGAGTTTACGAGAAGAAAGAGTTGTTTGGAATTGATCCTATTTTTTTTTTTTTTTTTAATCATAGCTCGACTCTATTTTACTCAATATAATTACTTAACTTTCGATAAGACAACTATAAGGATCCCTACTAAGTCCCCCCTTTCTAAGAAGCAAGAGAATGGGTAGTTTTGAAGAAGAAAGACTGGTCCAGATGGTCAGAGATTACATAGAATCAGAATCAACCACACCCATTTGCCATAATAATCCTTCAAAACTCCTCCAAGTTCATGAAACGACATATGATCTCTCTTTGCAGGTCTTTTCTAATACTTTCAGAATCTGCTGAGTGATGCTGATTCAGTTTGCTTTATGAGTTTTATCTTGTGTTTATTATTGTGTATATGTGCTGTTCAGGAGATCCTCAATAGTGTCACAGACGCTGAGGCTGAGATTCTCGGGAGAACTCTGTGGTACTTGAAGGATTTGGAGGATATAGGGGCATCCAATAATCTGAAGAAATGGGTAGTGTTGAAACTGAAAAACGATGGTTATGAAGCTTCTCTTTGTAAAACTTATTGGGTTTCTACTTTCGATCGTCCTTCAGGTCTCTCTCTCTCTCTCTCTCTCTCTCTCTCTCTCACACACACACACACACACACACACACAGTCTATATCCTTGCAAAGACATCTGTGTATATGTCTCCGAATGTCCAAAAAGAAGGTTTTGAACTTTGAAGCATCTCTATGTAAAATTTCTTGGGACACTACTTTCGATCGTTATCTCTCTCCCCCAGCGCCCAAAGTGTGTATATATATGCACAGACAATCTGTGTATATATCTGCATCCCTATATGCATGTATATGTGATTTTCATTCTAATTTGAGAGAAAATTCTTTCTGACCAATTTTATGGTTTATCTATCCGAATGTTTGAATTTGCAGGTGGCTACGAGTATATTGATGTGATGATGATGAAGGATGAAACTGGTGGTAAACCAACAAGACTGATAGTAGAAATGGATTTTAGGTCACAATTTCAATTAGCCAGGCCTACCACACCCTACTCAAATCTCTTAAACTCTCTTCCTTTAATATTTGTTGGCACTGAAGAAAAGCTCAACCAAATAATTTCTCTGCTCTGCTCAGCTGCTAAGCAGTCTCTAAAAGAGAAGGGTCTTCACATTCCTCCATGGAGAAGAACCAATTACATGCAATCAAAGTGGCGCTCTCCGAACTGCAAGAAAGTCTCATTCTCACCAAACTGGGAAGTTGGTGTTCCCAAATTTGAACCTAAAAGTGACAGTTTTTGTGGTTCCTCCAAGTTCAACATTTGGGCACATAAAATTTTGAAGCCTTAGACAAAGTACTCAAGCCAATTGTTACAGTAAGAGTTCTATGGGTGTAAATTTTTTGGGTTTTTTTTTATTAAAAATAAAAATTAAAAATTAAGAGTTGTTGTGGTATGCCTCGATTTTTGATCTGTCTTTCAGAAATCCTTGCCTTTCCTTCATATGAACGTCTTTCGGCTTCTACGTAGGATAATAAATTCACATGCAGTTCCTTCATCGTTTGAGCTGTGGAAGCCATGTCTGTCCTACGATTAGTTTGGGCTCGTTTGATTGTCGAGAGGGATTGGATTAGAATCTTATTTCTGGGATAGAAGGTTCAACAGTTGCTGGACTAAGTGAATTTTAAGGAAGCAACCAATGATTTATTAGTGAAAACCAGCAGAGATTAGTAGCAGATTCAAGTATCTATTTTCTGCTGCCAAATTTGTAGTCATCCAATATTTTGATAAAAGAATAACTTGATAGTTAATTATGGTACCCATATATATGTGTGTGTATTCAATTGAATTTATTTTTAATACTCAGTAGAATACAATTTTTTATTCTTATTTCTGAGTGAAATGCCTAGAAAAAGAAAAAAAAACAAAATTTGTGGCCGGGAAGGTTATAGTAACTAAAGCCATTGGAATTTTGATGTCATATATTAAAAAAATCCATTTGGTTTGTAATAGACTAGGAAAGGTAAAAATAATAACCGAAAGAAAGGAAATTAATTAGTTATTTATCAAAATTTATTTTATTAATTCAACAACCAGAATTAGAGGGGATATATATATTATATATTAGCATCCCAGGATGTGATGTAGTGGTTAGAATGCTCATATCTCAGTTGTCCTTACCTTAATTTCCCAATCTCATCCGGCATTGGTAATGCTATCATGGACGATTTCTTTCTTACCTTCAATATCTAATCATTTGTGGCTTACCTTTGTTCTAATGATAATTGATCGAAACCAACAAAACTGCAGTCAATAGACCATTATCAATGCGGACAAAATGCTATCATGAAGTTATGATAATTTGGAAATCTCTGGTTTCTCGCCGTCTAGATTTCACTAGTGGGCTTCTCTCGTGAGTTCAAACTCTATTGTCCTGCCCAAGAAGGCTCTCCGTTCAAGCAAAAAAGGTGATGATAATTAGAGAGAGAGAGAGAGCTACCAGTTAAGTTAGAAAAAGGAGGTCAAGAACATATTAAATGTAGCAAAATTTTTCGAAGCACATAAGCATATCCGAATACAAAAGCTGTTACATGTCAACCAAAAAAAGATTAAAAGCAGATGTAGAAAGGTTAGCTGAAAAAGACTATACAGATTGGCCCTAACAAAATCCATAATAAGAAATTTGGGGTTCTTGTGGAAGTGATGGCTAAAAACAAGAACATCTTTTTTTCTCATTCTTTTGTCTAGACCTGAGTTGGTCTTCTCAGAACCCTAAAAAATCACATACTGCACTGACCTCTACCCTAAAAATTACTAGACTGTCGATGATCATGGCGCCAATCACCACTTATTTCTGCGACACTGTTTGGAAAAATTTGGCCACCACAATTCGGAAAACTCTCAATGATCCATATCAAAAAATGATGTTTAGACAGTTTTCCAATCACTTCTCGATATTATCCGCTATTAGAGTTACTTTCGTAATTTCCCTTATTTTGCTTTGCTTTTCTAGTAATTTTGGATTGCTAGGATTTTCTATTTATATTGGTTTATAAAGACTATTCAGTAGCTTTTGATTGTCTTGAATAACATGAGAGACTTGTTCTCTTCTATTCCTACTATGTTGTGCTATTTCTGAGAATTAAAAAGACTATAAAAGAACTGTAATATGATATTCTCGACTGTAATCAACAAATTATAGTTTGTATTTTTTTTTTCTTTTAGTGAATAGACTTTCATTCATTCGGAATGACCATATATACTCTCCATGGTCATTTATAAAGTATTTTATTTATAATATGTGCCCATTTAAGTGACCCAGATAGATAGTTTCAAGTTCTAATCATTTTCATGTGTGCTTGAAGTCCATCGATTCTACCTGAAAGTCAAGCTATAATCTGCACTCCATTGAAGAAGTGGGCTGAATGAACGTCCCTAAGATGTTACTTTTTTTGTATTCTTTCATATCATAATACACATTTAGTCATATCACACTATTAAAAGTCAATTGCACCTACTATCCGATCTCCTCAACAATTTTAAATTGTTGACTTTTTCCTAATTTTACACTCTTAATTCCGGAATGAATGTGATCAAAATCTTCTTTGCTCGTTCTTAAAAAGTCAATAAAGTGGCTAGCAGGTCAGTGGGGAATGAGAAAAATAGAGCTAGAAAGACTGTATTAGAAATGGCCATAGCGGTTAGGCATGCATGTTATACAAAGATGAATATTGTACGATATGCACTCATTACTTGGTTTCAATCGTTTGTAGCTGTTACACATGGATTGTAACCATTAGTCATTGCCTAGTAGTGAAGTCATATGTATTTTAGATCTTTAACAACTTTACATGTGATTGTAGCTGTTCAAATTAATGGTTCGCAAATAACAGTCTGTCCTATATTCACATAAGATGTAACAATGTTTTAAATCCTCAAATTTGATTCCTAATTTAGATTCCAATTACATTGTTGCTCTCTTTATGCACACTATTTATATTATGCTATAGGAGATATAAGATTTTCCTAAATATGCATTACTAAAAATAATGTATGGTTCATGTTCACTATGCCAAAGGGTGTTTGATCTAATGATACTTTTTACCTTGTGAAGATTTATCTTCTTAAAGTCAAATATTTAAGTCTCCCCTCCCCTCACCCCAAAAAAAATGGACGGAGCTAAGCCACCGGCCAACTCAACGGGCTACCTAATAGCCAGCTTGTTAGGCTGCTTGATCCTAAAATTGTAAGTCTAAGCTCTACCCGTTAAGCCAATTATGACCTCACCACGGTCGATAGCCCATTAACCTGGTGAATCGTTGGACGGGCCACATGCTAAATCCTAATTCTAATCCTAATCCTAGATTGTATTACATCTTAACTCAAAAAACATTTACAGTAAATTAAATTGGTGGCCCTTAAACCATGATTTTTGTATTAATTCAACCTCAGAACTCAATTTTGAATCAATTAAGCCCTTACCTACCTATTTTGTAGCAATGTGACTCTTCTATAAAGCACCACCAAAATTAGCAATAGAAAGTTGCACGTGACTTTAACGTGGCTTAGAAATCAGGGTTATTAAAGTCAAACCAAATAATTGGCACCTACCCTCATTGAGTTCCCCATTTTTCTCTACCCTAAATAGATCAGATCGAAACCCAAATTTCACTTACCAAAACTAGTGATCTAGTGTAACTATCCCAAATCTGTGCCCATTAAACCCTAATTTGTTCACCAACTAGCGATGGAATGGGCGCTGTGGCCTGTAGACGAGATTTTTCACTTAAATCAAATGTATTGTAAGTTACATTTTTGTAAGCATTATTTATTCATTGGGATGCACTACTTTTCGTTATTCGAGTATTTAAACAGGTTTAAATAACCTGAAGCTTTGATTTTTTGTGTTGATAAAATTTTGTATTATACTTTTTTGCAATTATTTAAGTTCGATTTCTTAAGTGACTTAAATAATTTTTATAGGAGGCCATACCACATTATTAAGGCATTTTCTAATCTACAAATTTTGTTGGGTATTGTATTGGAGACCACGATCAAATCCGGTCAAGTTAAAACTCAGAGTTTAGTTACGATTTAATGGGATGCCACTAAAACAAAATCAAGTTGTGATCCAATCACATATGGCACTTGGTATCAGATGAATAATATATGGACTAACTGGGTTAAAAAAATCACTTGAGTATTTGGGAGGTCAAGTGTGTTCTTGGAATTAAAGAAAGATATTGAAAATGAGGGAATTTGCTAGACTCTTCTTTCAAAGGCTAATTGGTGATGGAAGAACTACGTCCCTTTGTTTGATAACTGGCATCCTGGTGGCCTTTCATTGCTTAGATGGTCTGCGAAAGTTGTTTATGACTCTGGTATCCCCAAAAAATACCAAGCCATGTCATTAATTCAGGGTAATCGATGGAGATGGCCTAATTCTAACCCTAGGAATAACAAAGAGTTCACGGAAATCATAACTTCTCTGCCCACTATACTCCCAATTTTGAAATGAGAGATAAGACTAAACGGATGCTAACATCTAATGGGGTGTTTTCTACCACATCAGGCTTGGAAATCTCAGAAACAAGAAACAAGAAGTCGAAAGGTGTCATCTGGTTTGGTATAATCAGAATATCCCTACAACAAGTTTCATCTTATGCCTTGCTATCAGAGTAAGATTAGCTACACAAGATAGAATTCAGCATTATGCCCAGAATATAGGTTCTGTATGTGTACTTTGCAGAAATACTCAAGAAACTCATTACCATCTATTCTTTGAGTGCTCCTTTACAGCAGAATATTCAAATTTGTCATGGAAAAATGCAATGTCCCTTGGCAAACTCTTCCATTGCAGCAATTCAACAATTGGTCAGTAAGCTCTTGGTCAGCAATTATAGTTTATAAGAACGAGTATGATAAGAATTGATGCAAAACGTGATTAATTTAGTTAGCAGAATTATGATGATTTAGTCTTTAACTGCTAACTAGAAAGTAGGAGAGGAGTTGCAGAAGACCTAATCTGTCGTAGTTGCTTTTACTTAGGAATTAGTTGCTACTTTATAGGCATTGTGGTTATGGTTTTAGGTTATAATAAAGGGTGTAATCAGCCATTTAAAATATATGAGAATTGCAGAATATTTCTTCCATTTTTTAATTGATAAAGCTGTAGCTTTTTTTCTTCTCTCTGTTTTTTACTCTGTATTCAAACTCTTGTTGCCTTTGTCTCTCTTATTTCCAACAGTTTGTGGTATCATAGCCCAGGTTTGAACCAATTGGGCTTATTTTTGTACTGCATTCGAGATCAAGTGCAGTAGCAGTAGCAAGACATCTCTTGTGCAGCTGAGATGTTGTGAAAAGGCTTCAAAGAGGAGAAATCATGAATTC